AGTGGTTTTATGAGGTTCGGCCCCACTCTGAAATAGAGGTCACATAAAGGTTTCGTCCATTCCTGATCACACTTGTACGTGGGATTGGGCTCTGCTGCCCACAGAGTTCCTGTGAGGATTTAGTGCAAATGTTTTTTTTGAGAACTGGATCTGCCCTTTTTGTGACCTCATTCAAACTCCTACCACACCACTTCCAAATATCTTTGAAATACATTGCAAACTTTTGATAATCGTTGACGGCACTGATAGGGACCACCTAAGAAAGGTCAGCAGAGTGAGTGTAGAAATGAAGAATATTGTCATGTCAAATATTTGTGTAGCGTGTGTAAATTATTGAATGAGCCCCATGTTGGTCTTTCCTTCTTTGCAGAAACCACACAGAAACCAAACCTCATAAGTGTCCTCATTGCTCGAAATCATTTGCCAACACAAGCTACCTTGCTCAGCATGTACGAATACACACAGGAGTTAAACCTTACACCTGTAACTACTGCCAGAAGACCTTCAGACAACTCAGTCACTTACAGCAACACCAGAGGTACCACACAGAACGTGTTTTCTTTTCTTTTCATTTGTGTTTTTTCATTCATGTTTTCTTTTCATTTGTGTTTGTTACACCTGCATTATTATTCATACAGACAAAGTTTAGTTTCCATTATTTTCTTACATTGACTTTAACATTTTGTGCCTGTTCAGGATCCACACAGGCATCAGGCCATACAAATGTGCACATCCTGGTTGTGAGAAGTCTTTCACTCAGCTCTCTAACCTACAGGTGATGTAGTTTCTTTAAGTCAATTTTTTAAGTGTTACTTTTATTTAGAATATCAATTCACTGTTTTCTTTAAGGAATAATGAATCCTTCATGTCTTTCAAAACCTGTATGCTATATAAAAGGTGACTGAGTAAAGGATGTGCGCTGTTCAGTATTAAATTTAGAATGCCTTTTATATTCCAATTCAGTTCTTGAATTAGAATTTAATTTTAACTTTAGGGCGCAGAATTGCAATTTCAATTTGTGTACAAGAAAGTAGAATTAAGATGAATGAATTGAAATTTAAAGAAATCCATATAACAATTTTTCACCTGGAAAAGCCAAGTTCTTTGGACAGTTTTTTAAACTTTGAATGTTGGCTTGAATAAGTCTTGTTTGAAAGTTTTGGGGAAAAAGCATAAAAGACGTCTTTCAGAAACATTTAAACATCTTGCTGACCCCAAACTTTTAAACAGTAGTATATATAGATGGATAGATAGATAGATAGATCTTTGTCATTCCGATTCAGATTCCAGTTTTGCTTCCTGCGGGATGTGGCCAATTCAGTTTATATTAGGGGTGTGCGTGTGCGATATCATGATTTTTTATCGTGGACGATTAAAATGTCTCCACAATCTGCTTTTGAAGAAATATCGTAATATCGCGCTACAGCGCACATTATATCAGCTGCAGTTCTGGTGCCTCCATCTCAATATACTGTACAGTGCGACCTACATTCACATCAAGTGTTAAATCAGTGGTAGAGTTACACTCACGGGACACTGCACTTCGCAATCACAAAAGTACATGATTTGCATGTGCTTTAAAGCCTTGCCGGTTAAACATTTAATTCACGTGCTGTTCTGACATGCACTTTTTCTGAGAAACTGTTTGGTTACACACATTCTTCAAAATAACTTTTATGTTCAACAGAAGAAAGAAACTAATTCAGGTTTAAAACAAC